ATGTATTTATTGTCGTTTAACGGGTCAACGATGACGTGTCTTAGGAGAAAGGTCATTAGGAGGTACAGGGGGCGCTGTATTCAAAAGGTGAACAGATCACGTGAGGAAGGGAAACGATCATTCGAAGTCGAGCTACGCTAATGTACAGACATTCCAGTTTATTCCAAATAAAAGTTTTTGTATAAAAACATTTGTATAAAGATGGGGTTTGATTATACGTTATAAAATTATCAGATTCATGTAAGTACGAACTATACCGGAATTGGAATTAGGCTATGCGGGAAATGTAACTGGTGACGGAGCAAAAGTTTGTATGTAATATTGTATCGTCTGTACACAGGCAGAGGCACATCGACTCATTCCTATTTATAAATAAATGATTTGGTGTTTGAAGATGAAGTGGTTTTATTCGTTGAGAGTTATTAGACGATAAATAATTTATATACGTTTAAGCGTAAGCGAATTAGAATATAACAATAATAACTTATTTGCTTTACTTGCTTATTTTAAAGGTAAAGTACGAGGTAAAGTTCAGTTGTTGTATTATAATAATAGTTGAATTGTAGTAATTGTTAGTTTAACAATTTAAAGTAATTGTTTATATTGTAATAATAGGGGGGAGTTTTGTTCGCCAAAAGGGGGGAGAGTGTGACGATATAGTGCGTTAGATGAGATTATTTTATATTGCTAAGTGTTGTCCGGTGTGCAAGTTTGAATCTCTCCCGTGATTGGTAACCTAAAGGTAAAACTGTTCACTGTATAGTTGGTTCTGATTGGTAAACGTGTACTATCTGAACTTGTATATAAGGTCCGACTTGAAATAAATCGGTCTCTTTGTTGGGACTTTTGGCTCTAGCCTCTGTGTTCTTGGCTTTTTTGGTCCTCTTTGCGGCTCTCTTTGGCTCTTTACGGCTCTTAACTCTGAGATACCAGTAAGTACATTGTTATTTGTACCTTCATAAGGCACTCGGCCGCGAAGGCGTAACAGGAATCCCAGCTGGGGAATCCCACAAGAGGAACCAAGTTCGATTTCTGAGCTCGCATGTCGGAGGAAGCACATTCAAAATGAGTGGATTTTCCGACAAAAACTTGTAAGAAAATATTGGAAAACGTCTTTCTGAATAATTTTTAATATATTTCAAGATAGTTTTATGTATAGATAAGCGTTTTATCGCTGCAAAGCACGGCAGTAAAATACGTCGATGCGGGTTCTTCATGGACCAAACGTTACTTCCGGAAAGTTACGTGAAAAGTTACAAGAGTTTATAAGTCCGAGACTTACAAGAGTTTTGAGAATACCGTGTAAGTCTAAGATACAAATTCACGTAAATAGTTACAAATTGTTGTAAATTACAAAGTTTTGAGAATACGGCCCCAGGACCGTAAGTGAGCAGGCTTTACTAGTAGAACTCGTGGAAGCAGACCACAGCACAATCAGGAACAAACACACATCAAGCTTGGACAACAAGTCCAAGCTTGATGTGTGGATCAAGATTAGCAGAAAAATCACTGCTGTTGGTACAGCAAGCAGAACGCACGAGGAATGTAAGGAAAAGTGGCGGCAGCTGGTTACTGCGGCCAAGAAGGCCCACTGTGGGCTACGCAGCCACAGTGGCAAGACTGGGGGTGGAGCTCCTGCTCCACCCCTGGATGCCACAACGGAAAAGATAATTGAACTACACAAGGATGACCCAGCCTTTAATGGCGTATCCGACGGCTTTGAGACAACAGGTAGGCCTATTTAATGCTTAATTTTTTTTTTACAATTATTGATTTAATAAATAGATTAGTGATTTTATAAATGCTATGCTGACGATAATACACTTTGTCGTCTGCTTCGGAGACGTGCATTTCAAATGACCTTGACCTTACGCTCGTCGAAACATTTTCTATTGGTGGAACTCAAGAAAAAGCAACTAATGTGATTGTTACCTTTTATAATGATAAAAACCTGCGTTGAACATTTAGACATGTATTTCCATCCAGTGCATTGTTCTTGGCCTCTTTTACTCTAAGATAAAACCTCCGATGCACTACTGTCGTAATGTCCCATTCCCATGCCGTCGAAAATGTTTCAGAAAAACTACAAAAAACAATATTTCCTCGACTGTGAAGAGATCTAACAGTAATGGGCATCGTTGTCCTCGAACTAAACATGTTGATAAGTGATTATAATCCCAATATCCTATCCAATCCTGGCAAATGAGTTAAAAAATACAGCGTAAGCTCCTCCATGAATCAAACGGTGAAACCGAACTGCGTTTGAGCGCACTTGTTTTGACCGGTTCAAAAGTGAGTGACAGCTCAGAACTGGGTCACGAGATCATTGCGTGCCAGGCAAGAGTACTTGAGCAAAATTACAATGGACTTGTGTCTCTTTTGTTTATATAAAGAAACTTAGATACCCACTCTCCCACATACACTAAAATAAGGGAAATTTGCTAATGCCATTTCCATGTCATTTTTACTCTCACAAATGATATCATACTGTATCAATTCTCTAAAATCAAAACAAATATTTTATTTCAATAAAATAATTAAAATAATTGAAAATGCAAATTGTTTTAATTGATGTGAATTTTCTTTGTTCTTTGAAATGGCAGAAATCCCCAATTTGCAAGGAAGTACAGATGATATAGTCACAGTGGATTTTGAATCACTGTTAGATGATTTAGATTACCAAAGTATGTTTATAAATCTATGTACTTTTTTTAAAAAATGAATAAATAAAAAAAATAAAATAATAATAATAATAATAATAATAATATCATAAAAATATTCAAAAGGAAACTAGTTTTTACCAGATTATGGATAGTTATTAAAAAAAAGTAAAAAAAGTAAAATATACTAGTAGTGTTATACAGTGTATGTATTTTTATTACAGGTAAATATTATATAATTTTACAACTATTTACAGATCCTCCACCATTCCCATCCCCGCCTCCCGTCCCCACTATACAAGCACAAGTCAAGATGTACCCCAAATTCCAAAGAAAAGAAAGAAGCATACATGTAGCATGTCAAGAACAGGTAAGACATATTGAAAAGCCAATACAGACTTCAGTTATACACAATATGTTATACTGTCTGTGCTTGTACCGAAAGTATCTGTCTTCATTTGTTATGTTAAGTAAAAATAACATTTTTTTAAATAAGAGGCTTGAACTTTTGCATAGGTAACATTACAGCATATGATATATCTCTTTTCTTCATTGTAGAAAAAACAGAATCAGAGTTGGAGACTCTACAGAAGCAAGTTTTGAAGCAGGAGGCAATTAATGCCAAGCTAACTGAGAAGAAACTGCTTTTAGAGATTCAATTATTAGAAAAGCAACTTTTAGCAACTGAATAGAGCTAGTTAATTTATTGCTAACAAAAGTTGCTTCTCTAACAGTGGGATCTCTAAAAGCAAATTTCTTTCAGATTATTTTATTATGCATTATTAGTTCCTCCTGTCCAACGTTGGGCATTGGGTGGCAAACTTTTTCAAACTTGTCCGGTCGGCAGAGGCCTTCTCTATCTCCTCCCACCTGATGTTGCCTCTTTGCAGATCATTCTGGAAGGTTCTCCTCCAGGTTATCCAATAGTTGTATAAAATGTTTAAATTGTTAAATGTTTATGTATATCAATACTCTTTGTCAACAGCAAAGCAGGCATATTATTGTTTTTTGCAGATTTACATGACTTATAGTTGTATAAATGTTTCTAAAATGTTAAATGTTAATATATCTTTACTCATTGTCAATTACAGTATTAAAATATTATTAGTTTATTAATCAACATCATATGTACAATATGACAATATACATGTACTAGTAGTAAATGTTACAGTAGTATGTATATACATGTAAATAGATCAATTTATTACTTAAAATAATATTACAGTTCTTTGTACTTGAAACTTAAATTTAAAATTAAACAGTATATATTACATCAAAATATATTAAAGTTTTTTCTTCTTGGCTATATTCATAGTTCTTATTATTATTAAGAGAAAAATGCCCTTGCCACATGGTCCCTTACGGCCCTACCATCTTCAGGGCCATTGTACTGAATTCCCATATTTGGGCCTGGACCAGGGTCATTTCCATCTGGCAGTGGCTCATTCCTAATAATAGCTATGTTGTGCAAGACTGCACACGCACCAATGATATTGCACACCCTCCCTGGTGACATTCGTAATTCAGCATGAAGGCAGTGAAATCTGGAAATAAATAGAATACCCAATAGAAGCAAATAATTTATGTAGACAGCAAAATTTGGAAAATATAGTAACTGAATAAATTAATGGAATATTTAAGTATTAAATGCATTGGCTGGTACATTTTTAAATGAAGCAAAGAAGCAGTGACCCCCCCTCCCCCCCCCCCCAGCATGAGCCCCCTGTACATATATATTCACAAACATAATTTTATAGCAATTTTTGGTGGATATTGCAAGCTAGTTACCTTCTTTTCCATATTCCAAATACTCTCTCAATCAATGTCCGTGTTACTTTATGGGATCTGTTAAACCTCTCTTGGGCCCTGGTGGTGGGATTCAGGTATGGTGTTAGCAGGTATGGTTTGCAGGCATATCCGCTGTCACCAAGAAGTGTACCCAACTCTGATGTATTATGCCTTGCTAGCTCTCTTCCGAGAGAGGAGGTGTTAAATACATGCGAGTCGTGGACACTCCCTAGCCACTTTGCCACAATATTTGTGAATTTCCCTGCAATTTAATAAATATTTATATTTAAACATTTTATATTATAATTATTTCATGTTTTATAAAGAAACCAAAACTTAACCACGCCCTGTTTCAATTTAATAATCAGGGGGTAGCTACATATAACGAATGGGCATGAAGAACAAAATCATTATCGCACACATCGATTAGTCATGCCTTATTTACATTCTGAAGGAATGCAGTCGGTGCTACTCGGTGCAAGGTTGTCCGGAACCGCGCAAATTTAGATATAACCCAAATTTAGAATTGAGCTCGAAATGCGGACACCGTTGGATACTTTAGTTAGGATAACGCGTTAGTGTAACCTTCCAGATTCGCTGTCTAAATCGTTACGTCTAAATCGCTACAGAGGAATCCACACTGACAAAAATGACCAGTTTCAATCGTTTAATGTGAACTCGTTGCCGGCTTAGGTACATTCTGATTCTCTATTCAATATTACACACTTTTAGTACGTACTCCAGCCAATGGCTTCATGCACTTCTTATCACTGGCTTCTTAATGTGACAGGTAAACAAGCCTTACTCAGCCTCTTCAAAATTGACACAATGTATTATGGAGAATAATATTAGTTATGACTTGAAATTATTGACATCGTCCATGAATTATTAAATGTCTCCGACGTATTCCTCCCTTTCCCAAACAAAGAAAAATAGAATATTTATGACATTTTTCTTTCTTAATATGTAGCCTACTGCATTAAAAGGGTTATATTATGTACCTTAAGTTTTAATAATAATGTAAGCAGTGAATATGTCAGGAACCATAGTGTATAGAAAAAAAGTGTAATTAGTACTTTTAAAACTTTCATACATGATGTTGTATTAACTCAATCAGAGGAAGCCATTGTTTGATAAAATTCAGACATGGGAAGCCAAGTTGTACAAGTTGTTCAGATAATGCTTCACACCTTGCAGTTCAAATTTTAATGTCCTTTGTTCCGAAGCCAGTAATCTGTTAGAACTAGATTACAGGGTGTTATTAGGAGTGACCACCAGGAAAGGGTGGACTTGTGTTTGAAGTAACCGATCAGTTTTTAAGTTAGGTGATGGACAGTTTAACTGATAAAGTTTAGTATAAAGAAACCTGTAAACTTAAATCTAGGGGAGGATATTGGAGAGAGAGGAGGAGAGAGGTCATACTTGCCTCATGTAACTTTTAGTGTGGCAAAATATATTCTGTTGAAGTTACAACATGGAGTCGTTTCATTCTTTTCCGTGTGCAGAATTTAAGACAAGGAACCTGGGAATCCCTGTAGCAATATTACAGATAGCGTTATCCAAAGTTGTGAGCCCATTATGCACAAACCCCTAGGGTTTTATTATTAAAAAGGTATTTAATGTAATGTGGGGGCCCCCGGGATGGTCGTAAGGGGGTTCCCCACAAGGTGAAAGGTCATATCACAAAGATGGCCGCTCACTCGGTTACGTACCTATACTCCCCCGCACCGATACTCCCCCGCTTCTTTACATCCCTGCACCGATACTCCCCCGCACCGACACTCCCTCGCACCGATACTTCCCCGCTTCTTTACATCCCCGCACCGATACTCCCCCGCACTGATACTCCCTCGTACCGATACTCCGCAAAAACACTCCTTGGCTTTGTAAACCCCATTCGTAATTTACAACACTTTCTATAATGCTTTTTTTTTCAAGATGCACCAATCTCTTGGGACCCAGAATTGACTAATTTTATTCGAAATATATTGGGAAAAATAAAGAACGTTACACGAAGTCGATCTCAGACTTAGTGTGCAGCTTGACAGTACGTAGGTCTACAGCTCTTTCTTGTGATTTTTGAGAAATGTTTTTGCAAAATTAATTTCGTTCTCCTACTGTACTCAGTAGTTACTGTATATATATTGTACGGCCTTTTATTTATTTATTTATTTATTTATTTTATTAACTTAAGGCAAAGTTAGTTTTAATCTAAGATAACGCAGCTATGTCTTTTTTTTTCAGGCAACGATGAATTCGTAAAATTATTAAGTAATAAAAAAGAAGTGCTAAAGCTTCGTTTTCTGTCTTTTTCCTCCAACCTTCTTTTCTACTCTTTAAGCTTCTTTCCCTTGTCTTTTGAATCTGAATTAGATTAGAATCTGAATTGAGCAAAATTCAAAATTTTTGAAAATTGTTGCACAACGAAATTGTCGAGACACGAGCATGCGTCGTGAGCACGCCTTTTATACTCGCAGTCCCGTCGTTTGTTCGTTATAGATGTGAGGGCGTGCGCCGTACTCAACACGAAAAGGGCTCTTTCTCCTTCATTTCTTGCGGCGTGCATCTTGGACCAGGCAAGTCTCACTTGCAAACCAATCGCAAACTCCTTAGAAAGGGAGCAAATTACGCTTGCAGCCTCGCTGTTCGCAGATTATTCGTAGAATCTATTGGAAATGTTCAATATCCTCCGTACGTGCTTACATACGTGCGAACTCGAAATTTCGCATAAAGGACTTGCGTGGTACAGTACATGAGATTCTCCGCAAAATTTGGACTTAAACGGGTCGTAGATTCTGATCCACTTACCTAGACTGACCCTAACCTGTATAATTAAATGGAGGGTTGACTCTGTTACTCGATCCTCAGTTTCGTCAAAATTGCATAGGGGGAGTAACGGTGCGGGGAAACAACAACGCGGGGGAGTATCGGTGCGGGGGAGTAACGGTGCGCGTATAACGGCAATTTTACAGGGGGTTTATCGATGCAGAGATCTATTGGTGTGGGGTCGTATCGATGTGCCAAAATTTACTAAGGGGGAGTATCGGTGCGGGGGAGTATCGGTGCGGGGGAGTAACGGTGCGGGGAAGTATCGGCATGACCCCGCTCACTCGCCGGAATGACAGTGTCTCATCTACAGTTATTTTTCACTTTTTTTGCCGGTAAGGACCATTAGTTTGAATTAAAATTTCTAAACAAAATACACACCTTTGTGGTCACATACGGCCTGTACGTTAATGTTGTGAAAGTTTTTTCTGTTCACGAACGCTGGTTCGTTTTCACTAGGCGCTTGAATCCTCACATGAGTGCAGTCAATGCAACAAATACATCCCGGAAAACCAGCTATCCTTAAAAAAAAACCGTCACTCATACCTGCGCTAGCCTGGGGTGTAACAGGAAATTTGATGAAGTCAGCTTGATGTTCACACAGAGCCAAGGCCACCTTTCTGACCACTCGACTTACAGTCGATTTGCTGGGCCCAACGGTGTCCCCCACAACTTGCAAAAAAGAACCGGAGGCGAAAAATCGCAGTGCTATTAGAAGTTGCTCTCTAACACTCAAAGAATGATTCCTTTCTGTCTCTGGAGCTATTTGGTTGTGAAGTAAGTTTTCTAAGTACAGTATCGAATTTCTACTGAATCTAAATCTTTCAATGAGTTCTTGCTCAGTTGCTCCAGCAAAATCAAATAAATCTCTACTGAAATTTCTGTCTCTTCTCAGTCTAAAAGGTATATATCTGCGAGGATTTCTGGCAAACCGCAGCAGGTTTGCCATTTTTATCCGGCGGTTAAGGAATTTAAACTACCTCCCTTGATCGTATAAATTTAACCAACCGTTTAGGAGATTTAACCGTTGGTTAGTGCTAAACGACGTTTATGAAACCCGGTTAAACGTCGTTTAAGTTAAACACTGGATTTAACCGGTGGTTAGTGCTAAACGTCCTTTATAAAACTGGGCCCTGACGATTATACAATGATCTGGGCCCGGTTTCATCAAGGCTGGATAGCGCTATCCTATGGCTAAAAATGGCCGCTATCCTCTGGATAGAGCTGTCCAGAGGATAGTGCGTTTCATCAACAGTGGATAGCGTTATCCAGGGGATAAATCAGCTTATCCAGAGGATAAAGTTGTCCGCTCAAAATAGGTGGGATAAATCTGCTATCATGCTGTTAAATCATCAAAAATGGCGAACCTGTTTGCTTTGGAAGTAAATCCTATGAGATTTCACAGGCGAAGAATGATTAGAAAGAGAATTTTAGAAGATGTATGTTTGCTTTTGATGATTTAAGTGATGCTGAATCAATAGATTACATAACAGACTTTATCAAAGTTGACATCGCGCCTGCTACGAACAAAACCCATGCAATCTCCCTGGGAGACCAATTAACTTTATTTTACTAAAACATACCTTTTAAATCGACGAAATATGTCTACACTGCTATCGACAGAATCTGCCAAATGTGCCAAGTCAGCCATTTTGTTAGAAAGTATGTCACGACCTTGCCCTTCAACTGCAAATCTGTGTAAACATTGCATGAGGCACAACTAATGCAATGTGATGTGTTATTGACACTGACACTAAAATATCCTGTAGATATTTTCCCAATTATTTTCATGAATGTACCATCTTGAAATATACTTAGAATATTGTTTATTATGGGTTATTTATTTTCCAAATATGGTATAGACCACTTTTTGTTTGCAACTATCATGGCTTTTATAATGTTTATAGCAACCAACTGCATTGTGGGAATGTCTTTTTCCAAATATGGTATTGGATACATTTTTATCCATTGTATTACTATCATGCTCTTTATCCAGCCTTTATGAAACACAAATTTACACAGAGGATAACTATCCAGAGAATAAGAGATTTATACCATGGATAGTGTTATCCACAGGATAGCCTATCCAGCCTTGATGAAACCGGGCCCTGTTGATTTTTCTACAAAAACACTCTACCGAACGATAAAGTATATGCTTAAATTTTATTTTGTACACCAAAGTAATGTTCATGTATAGATTTCATTGAGTATTCGCCCAAGTTAGTAGCGTGTATCAAAATGGCGTCACGTAAAACGGAAATGTAAACATGCTCTTTTGAATTGTGCCAAATACAGCTTAAGAATTTTTTTCTTTTGTCTGCTCATGTATTTTGATAGTTTGAGATTCGTTTTTGAACATATAGAAAAATTAAGATGTGCGGAGACCTGTAACTTGCAGATTTTCGACATTTCCAACAAGGTGTATATTTACTGTCATGATCAATGTGTCGAGTGACAAATGCAAAGACTTATCTCGAATCTTGTATGAATGTTGCAGTTCTACATTGAATATTTGCTTTTGATGCCATTTATGTGTTTTGGTGTTGATAAGGTTACACGAATTGTGAATTGACATGTAGTTTGCTTGGTCCTGCTTACAGTATATATATATACATGTAAGTACATGGGGATTTTTCGGTAAAAGGTCCACTTTTTCAGAAAAAGACACTCCCCCTTTAAAATTGCTGGCTACGGGCTTGATAAATAAATAAATAAAAAATATTATTTAAAGAATAAAGTAAATAATTAGGTTACATTAAGAATCAAATAAAAAATAGATAAAAATTAGATGATTTAAATCATTAAATTAAATTAATAAATAATAAATAAATTATGATTTAATAATTGAATGAATAAATCGCTGTGAAGAAATAATCATTGTCGCAGCTAACGCGGTGAGTGTCAACCCATTATCAGGGCCATAACTTATAACTCCTTGATTCAACGTACTTTCATAAACATGTAGTGTGACCACACTGTCAGCCACCCCCCTTGTTGCACCTTGCAAGCGATTTGTCTCATAACTATGACAAGGCGTTCTTTTTTCTTGTTGTTGTTTAAAAACGGACCACTTTGTCAAGGCTAATTGCTTAGCTCCCTGCGCGTCATATGTACTTAGCTCTTTGCGCGACCTATGTAAACGCTAAGATATGAATGTTAGACCGGGTAGTTGATTGTTTTGCCCGGGCGCCGCACTTATGCTTTCCTACTAGAGCGATCTAGAACAAGTCGCTAGTTTGCTCTGTTTGTAACTGTAGCAAAATATGTTCGACATGCCGTTTCTGCACGACAGCCGGAGACACAGTAATTGTATAAGGCATGGTTTAAGCTTGTTCGAGAGATAATAACAGTCGCGTTTAACAAAAGATAGTAAGACCCCCTCCTCTTTAACTGATGTCTTACACTGTTAATATTGACCGCACTTTCATATATTATGTAATACACTGTCAGACTTTCCCCTGTTGCACGTTGGCGTTGGATTGTACTTGTGCCTCTGTCAATGCACCTCATTTAGTTTAAATATTTTTACCGCATAAACCTTTGTGGTTAAGAGTTATTAGTTTAGTAGTAGAAATAGGATGCTTAGACAAAAAGCTTCTAGTCAACTCGCTAAGACCTAGGGTGTGATGCTGCTATCATCCGAGGAAACACCTACACTGAATCCTCTACCTGAAGTCCCCCTAGCTGAAACAAAAAATGCCCCTTGAACCGGTCCATTTTTAAAGCGTCGAATCATTTTTGATATCATTGAGCGTTAAAGCGTAGGTTTATTCATCATGATCTATTTTGTAAACAATACTTGCCTAGATTTTACTTGGATTGATCATAGTCACTGTTTGGCTACTCGCCTATAATGCGTGCTGAATGACAGACAACTTATAAATATTATCTGTGTTACTGTGTTTATGACCACGTTAAGTTTAAATAGAACGGTATCGGTGATTTAATCCATCCAACATATTTATGTTTCTTCTTTTAAATCCAGTGTTAGGTTAACATCAAGTCAAAGCAAGCCTTGCAGATTGATTTTGTTTAAATTTACGTAAATTAAGTAAAGCTAAGTAAAGCCTGTTTCTAGTTCATCCACACTATAAAACTGCATGAAGGATAACAAGTCTCTGAAGCCAATTAACTTTCACAATGCCCTGTGCTTTAGAGTCCCATGTTATACAATAAAATGAGTATGGCTTGAGAGAAATATAAATATGAGGCCGTGTATGAAGATGTTTCAAATAATAAAAATCAAGAATTTAAACATGTTAGGTACATGCACATCACTTGATAAGTCATTTCACAAAAATGGCATCTAATTTTTCAGATAAACCCCCACTTTTATCGATCTCAACGCCTTGTCTGATGTTTACATGTAGGCGTATACTCCAATATTAATTGCGAACAATATCAATAGCGACTCGAGATCGTTGCCTGTTTTTCACACTTTTACACAAACTCATGAAGGGTTAATAAAAGGATTCGCGTTGCGACATCTATCTCTTTCTTTCGAACAAGCAAATTAAGGGCTGACCCGAAGTAAGCTTTCATAACTAATTTCTCTTTGACTGTACAGGGGTATATTGTAATTACTCCACTTGGTCGCCTCCATTGTCTTGTAACATTGACAAAGAATGTGTTTTCACACGCTAGTTTACATAACTCCTTTGCCTTGTGTCTTTATCAAGGTTATAATCAGTTTGAATAGGTTGTCTTGCCTCACTTAAAAAGGGAGTTGTTCTTCACACTGGTTGTTGCCTACATTTGTGTAACTTATGCTAACCTACTTTGTACAAATATGGTTTTAATAAATCGCCAAAACTATGACACTAGTGAACATTGTGTATCAAACATTTTGATACGATTAAATAAATGTGCAAGAAGGATTACGGAATGAGTTACTATTTACCTCCCCCCCCCACGCGCCCTTAAAAAAATGCTCTTTTGATTTCGAAATGAATTTGTTTTTAACGCAAAGAAGTCCAATACCCCTTTCACGACTCAGTCATTGTACAGCATGTTATATTACTCTTTACCCTTTTTATTTGACACTGTCTCTGTTTCTCTCCCCTTTTACTTTCTCTTGTTAGAAGGAGGGCAAATAATTAAGCATTCAAAATATGCATCACCAATCTTCAGAAAAGAATGAGTGAATGAACCATTGGGCTGGCCCACAACGTCCGACACAGCAGAATAAATTAAATAACAGCTTTCACAGATTTAACTGCAGTTAGCTGTACAGCGTCACTATATACATAATCCGCTGCACGCGCGAAGCTGTTGAACAAAAGGGTAGTTCTCTAGGGAAGACCTTTTGTTTACATAAGTACTCTAAGGGGGCGTGCCTAACCAGGCGACAAGAGGATTATGCTAGTCACTATATTCCGTCAAATTTGTTTAGCGACCCTATCATTATCACACTCCCTCTATTGTATTTTCTTACGTTATAATTGTATCTAATCTTCTTCGTTAGATGGAAAAAATGCACACATATATAATCTTATGACTGTATATACAGGGCTTGACATTAAGGGTGACCCACTGGCCCTGGGCCACTGAAAACCAACCTAGGGCCATTGAATCACTGGGGTCACTGGCCCAAAGAGCAAGTAAAATGTCATGTGTCAAATCATCCATTGTCTAAATTGTACTGCCAAATACCCGTGACTGTCATGATGAGTCTGAAGATATTGACTGAGAAGGTGCTGCTTTTGAAAAACCAAGAATACCAGTGGAGAAGACCCTGGTAACTCCCATACATTCTGTGCCTTTCCCCAAGTTTACTTTCCAGTCTTCAGGTGTTTGGTGAGAATGCTGGAAATAACTGGTTAGTGTTTGTCAGCTGACCATTAAGTTATTTTCATTGTATTTTTGCTTGGCTGTTAATCTCTATGAAGGACTACACTTTTCTGGGGTGTTCATCAGTATATCCCTTACGAAAATTTCCTATAGGATCCTATAAGATTTCCTATAGGAAATTGTCCCTTTTTCCTATAGGATCCTATAGGAAATCTTATAGGATCCTATAGGAAATCTTATAGGAACCTATAGAAATTCATATTAACTGCTTTGAATATTTTTACAGCTTTTTATATATTGTTGGATCTTTGGCAAAATTGGTAATAAGCACTGGTCCCTCAAAAAAGAGAATATCATGTTTACATTCTTTATTTAATATGTATAAATGTATGTACATATTCCACAGTATGGTATGCAACCAGCTTACTAGAGAATTGTTTTATTGATTTTTGCAAATTTAATGGTGTTGCTACTGCTGTTTAATTATAAGTTCTATAAGTTATCACAAGTATCCAATATGTCTTGTCAAGCTGTGGCGTCACTGTCTTTTTCTTGTGTGAGTTCGAACTCCTGCCAGAATGAGTGGCTAAAACCTCCCCTGGCCATACCGTGTCCATTGTCAGCATACCGCTTTAGTCACTTAATAATTGAAGAATTTCAGACCAAAGTCTTTTGCACATTGTTCAACTTTACTGTGGTAAGTCTTTTGCACATTGTTCAACTTTACTGTGATGGCCTTCTTAACCTCCGTCTGAGTTGTGTTGAACCATTTGCAGATGTATTCTGAAAGACAGACATTGTGAATTTCAATTAACTGTACATGTCTACAAAAATGCAAAATGATGAAGGAAAATTTTTCTAATGAGATCAATAATAATCATTGCACAAATTCTATTTTGAGCAATTCATAGCCTTTATTAGTTAACTGANTTCGCAGTGGAGAAAACTCTACTCTGGTTAAATATGCAATTGGACTATTACAGAGCTGCCAGGGCCAAAAAAGTCCCAAAAACTCATTTCCGAGGGTAAACAGTAATTCCCTATTCTCACCAGTCTTTGCTTGACCTAAATCATCAGTCCAAACCACAAAAAAGCAATCCCCAAGTTAAAATTTATAGCTTTTGTGTAAGCAAAATGGTCAGATTTTCACAATGCACATTTCATTTCCATTATGTATAGGTTAGCAAAAAATATTTTTTAACAAACTATGGTGTTTACCTCACATTAAGGGATTGAAAAGAAATTAAAGGGAAAGAAAACTTGGCAAATAAACGATCCTGAAGAACGTGTGAGGTAATGAAATTTGCCCTGACAGCCCCTCTAACATGTTAATTGTATGTTATTTATTAGCATGGGTCTTCCTCAGTTATATATATCATGATGGTCCCTTGGAGGCAGTTGTGGATAACATTAAATAGATAATTTTTAATAAATCACAAACCAAAAGTTAAATGAAACGTCATTTTTTTTAGATTCAACTGCATTTAAAGAAATATGAACAATTGATCACAGTTTTATAAGAAATAAAGAGACTAAACAATGATTGCATTATGTATCCTTGTTTCTCATTATAAATTATAACTTGTTTAATGTAATATATATATATATATATATATATATATATATATATATATATATATATATATATATATATATGATGTTTACAAGGTACACTACAAATTAGATCAATTAATTATCTCATTTTCAATTTGATTAGATGCCCAAATGATCCAATGCATTACTCTAATACATACCTTCCTCAATCCGATTTTTCTACACTCTGTACCCTTCCACTATGCTCCTGAATTTAAACTGTCTTGATAGCTGTATACTCATTTGCTGCTTGTCTCATATAAACAAAGACTTAGACAGGATACCACACATCTGATAACACCTAATTGGCGGTTTAATCATTAAATTAAGATCTGCACTTCTGCCTTGTTCTCTTATTTTACTGATCAAGATTTATTTCTATTTACTAGTACTATTTTTGTCTCTTACATATTAAACTATTTAAAATTAGACCCTTCCAATTATAATTTTAAAAAATATCCCTAATCTATTTAAAATTTACATTTCTGTTTTTAAAAATGCAAAATATTGAAATCTGTGTGATAAACAAAACTAAGTAAACATTTAAAATTCATGTCCTTAAAGCACTGTTCCTGGGAAATGTTCATTCAGCCTCTTGAATATGCACTGACCTTGTTAAAAGTTTTTTTGAAACTTTTTGCCTTTAAAATTAAAGCAGATAACAAGGTTCCAATAAACTCGTTGGCCAACTTGATCTGTCTATTCTGAGTGCAGGAGAAGCACCTGCCTCAGCAAGTTATGAATATTACCTTTGCCAAAACTGACATACAATTAAGATCATCCCCGGCTGAAAATTCTTGAATATAATTTGTAATTAAATACATAACAAAGTAAAATTCATTAAAAATTTTAAAAAACTTAAGCATAACTTAAGCATAATAATCCCCAAACTTGACCTCCAGTCAGATTTGATTCTTTTGAGAGCACTGTATCCTCTCTCCACCTGTGAAGTGGACAGGGTGAACAAGGCAATTTCAATTAGCATTATTATATGTATTCTAATCTTTGTCTGGTCTCCTAGCCTTGAAACAAATCCATACACATATCTTTACTTTTAGGCCTATTCACTATAAACATGCCACCTATGTGCTCTTTAAATGCAGGCCACTCTCAGTGGAAGTCTTGTGGGTCAAAGCCCATCCTGTTTAATACTTGAAGAAAGTATTGTTCCAGAACTTGTCTGCTATGAGAAAGGTTTCTAGGGTAAACAGTATCCAAGACTCTACAAAACACCATCTCTTGTTCAGTCACACCTGCATCAACAGCACCATCACACAAAATCGTATATGGAAATAAATTTTCCTTGGTCTTGACTAGAACACCTCTTCCCTTATTGTCAGCTGATATGAAATTCGGGAATCTGTTAAAAATAAATATAATGATAAAATCATACATGTAGGAAATAGAACGGATAAAGGTATGCTAGTAGGCCTACACATTGTATGTAAACAAAGTAAAACTATAACTTTGCAACAAAATATAACATTTCACTGGTACTGAACGTCAACAAGTGCATCTAAACTATATATGCGAAGGGAGGTTACTCCAAAATTATTTCTATACATTTCGGCGCTTATATGAAACTTAGTGAATGCAAAAAAGACCCACCTTTTAGTCTGCAAACCCAAAGCTATGTAACTTGAAAGGCAAACGGCAGATTTCAGCCCGGGAGCCACCGGCTCATATGACGGTTATTTTGGAGAACATTAGATTTGGCCTCGTTTTCAAAACTTGAAGCGGCGGCCTTAGCCAATTTGGCGGGAGGAGCAGGCATAGAGACAGGTAAGATGAACAGACGTTTATACGCTGATATGTTGATAATTTTACTAATGCACTTGACAGAATGATAAAGTATATTCTCAAGCTATATTTTATATACCATAGTAGTGTTTAAGTATCGGTTTCACTGAATCTTCTATCAAGTTACTGACGTGTTCCAAAATGGCGGCACACAGAACCCAAATGTAAACACGTTCTTTTGAATTGTGCCAAATGCAGATAACAATGATTTTTCTTTATCTGTTCAGTTTTTTTAATAGTCTAACATTTGTTTTTGAACAGGTAAAAAATTTAGGTAGGAACCTAACCTGTAACTTATCGATTTTCTACATTTCCGACAGGTACATGTAGTATATTTTGCAATGTTCCGAGTAACTACATGAGCAGTCTTGTGTTACATCTTGAATGAATGTCGATGTTAAATATTGAATTTTTGCATTTTCATGCAATTTTTTTGTGTTTTGAAGTAAACTAGATTAAATACTTCATGAAATGACAGTGTGTGTTGTTGGGTCGATCACAGTAGAGTGAATACGGGGCAGTCTTGCCTCATGTCTTGTATGAATGTCACAATAAAATATTGAGAATTTGCCTTCTTATGCATTTTTTGTGCTTTGATGTTAATTAATAGAAATGGCTAGCAAAATGACATGTAGTATACTTGATTCTGTATAGATAGATATATTATGAGAGGGGGATAGGTCACTTTTGAGGATATGAAAGCCATTTTTTAGATATTCTGCATATTCATTTTCATGCTATTACTTTGCATTTTGATTTAAGTAAGATGAAAAAAATGTAATATTTTGAAATTTCCATGAAAAAGGAGTGAAACTTGTATAAACTGATAAAAATATTTCAGTTATTTATTATTATCATGCACAAGAATGCCCAAAAAATTATAGGTTTAATATTTTATCTACCTTTTCATACTTTCAGTGACCTAAAGTGTTGACAGTTCAAAGGCTTGTGTTATAACAATTAGGATGTCAGTGTTACACAGCTGAATATACAAGTATACATTGCCAATTAGTGAGTAACTTTTCATATCAATTTGTTGGTATATATCACTTGGACATATTTTTTATTTTAATCATAAATTGAATAATATATCATGCCCAAGAGAAAGCTTAGCTAGGACATTTACCCATGTGTTTTCCTTGTGGTCCCTGTCCAAGGTGTGGGAAAGTCTATTTATAGTTGTTGGATGCTGATGTCAGTGAAAAGCAGTGTTATCTGCCCTGCATGTGTGTGCATGGTATGAGTGTGGGGCCACACATGCTTGTAAATTATAGTTGTGAAAGATACAAAATTGAAAACCAACCACAAGCATCTTTTTAAAAATATGAATAACAAATTTTGACTTTTAACATGTTTGCCCCTTTGGCAGGTTACAAATGTACGATATCAATATGGGGGAAAACTTGTTAGTCAAAATAAGTTTTGTTACATTTTTTACCCCCATTTGTTGACCATTTGCAATACATACGTGCATACTGTGCATCATAAAATGCCAAGTGCTATAACATTGTGTATATGTTTTCAAATTGTGATAGCCATCATAGGCAAATTTTTGTTAGAGGGAACAGTTTATTTTTGTTTAAAATCTCCCACACACACAAACACGTGGGTTATAAGTATGTGAGGGAAAAATGTTTCATGAAAAAAAGAACATTACATTAACAAAATTCCTCCTTTGTTTTAATTTATAAATATTGTTTACCAGTACAATAATTTGTGTATTATAGTTGTGAACACTGTAGTTTGTAGACTTCAGAGCTTCATTTAAATGGGAATTTAATTGATTTGAAGATTCGCATGTTTGCCACTGCTCAGCTCTTGATGATGAGCTCATTGATCAATATTGATACACTTTTAGATATTACTATTTTAGATAATTCGATTGATACCAGCTTCCCTATTATCAAGATTGTGGTTTATTATTTATACTGATTTTAGTGTGTGTCGTTGTTGTGTGTGTGTGTGTAAAGATATATGCAGTTAGAAAAGTGTTTTTGAATGTTAGTTTTTAAATCTTTTTAATGTTTTAATCTAATATTTTTCTAGGCTTGAAGAACATGAAAGGGACCAGGATTAATCATTTTGCCATTCCTTGGCAATTATGACAGAAGCTCAAGCAGCTATCATGAAGCCATAAATAAAGTTATTTAATCCTTTTAAAACTGAAAACATTCTTTTAAAACTTGGTTACAGTTCTTTCTAATGAATAAAATACATTAACAGATTCATGTAACATCATTAAATGTGAAAGTTTTTAAATGAAGTTTGGCTGTGAAATCACCACTATGACACTTACAAAAATAAATTAAAATGAAAATATAGACTGGTACAGGACTAACTGGTATCAGTGAAATAAATTTCTGATCCCAGGTAAATTAATAAAATTATATTAATTGTTTATATTGATCCTGATTTTAAAAGGAGTAGTTTGTCCTGTGGCTATAACTGTATGTTATGATCATGAAGTGTAAAATAATTGCCATATCAATGTGTTGCTAAAGTAAAAAATAATTTTTGCCACAAATATACATGTATATTTGCATCAGCTTTAATCCCTGTTGGCTTTCACAATATTGATATTTTTGTTCATGATATTATATAAGTTTTAAATGTTGTATAGTGGTTCATATGTAACAAAAAAAAAAAGCAAATTAAATTGATAAAAAAAGTCTTGTTTGTTTTGTTTTTATTATCATTTCAATAAAAAGAAACTGGCAGCGGGTGGCCTCATGTAATAGATAAATGTTTATTTACAAAAAAAAAATATGAAATGTTTGTATCTTCATTTCCTCTATTCTTCCTGTGCAAGCTTCTTCTTCTCTATATAGACAATATTGTGCGGGTGGGGAATTCAAAACGAGGTTAAATTACAACAAGAATGTACTAAGTCAAAACGAGGCTGGCTTGCGGTTGTTGCAAGTACCAATTTTTTTACATACACGGGTGTGAATTGATTTGTGCCATTCCTGGATAACGGTAAAGTTCCTTACATGCTTACATTGACAGAAAGCTGAATAAATTTGCCACAATTTACTGATAATTTGAAGTTGGAACCTGTTCTCTAAAAATGCAAGCATTAGAGGTAAAGTTGAACTCCCGTTACGGCTTTGGTAAAACTTCGATTGTAAAATGAACATTTCAATTTCCACGAAAGCCTTGTATCAGTTGTCTAAATATAGCACACGCATTTTTGTCAAGCAGATCGTGTAATTTTGTACCCTAAAATGAAATGATTGTAGAAAAAATGGACAAACTTACTTTATTGATATTATAACGATTTATGCAACTATATATGCTGGAATTGAGCCAAAAAGAATAAAAAATTTGTACAACCGCCCTTTTTTGTGAAATCCCTATTTTAGTGCGAAGTATGTAGGTCAGTCGAAACTAGGACTTTCACGTTGCACTAAGCAAGTCACTCGAAAGCGCTTTTCTCGGTAAATCTCGGACTTGTTGTAAAAATATTAAAATAGTCTATTACTTATATTATAACAAGTTTACATTTTCTGAAAATTTACGGTTTTAGTGTACATTACAATTATTTCGCTGGATGATTCTCTGTTTTATGTTGATCTTGTTGGGCCTGAGGGAAGCGGGATCCGGTGCTCGTTCATCCTCTGGATGTATTGGGTTATTTTATGGTAATCATATTCAATTTTATTATAAACACGACGAACAGATTGATTTGCATGGAATTAGTGAGGTTTGAAAAGGCGTTATGAAGCCACGTCCACCCGCTGAAGACATAGACTAGCACTTGCACTTGGACGTGCCCACTCCTAGTGCTAAGGGCGAACAGCAATTTCTTTTCAACAGAACAGTGGAAGCAGATGAGAGATTTGGCAGATATGCCATGTACTTGTCTTACTCTTAAGGTGAGTTCAAACACAACATTAATTTACACTTACAAATACATATATTTTGTGTAATATAACCAATTACACTTGTGTTGGCTTAAAGTTGTGTCGAATTAGAAATGGTCGCATGTTTTCCAAGTTTGATATAAAGTTTGATATAAAGTTGCAATTTGCGTAGTGATATTTGTTGACACAGATAGGCGCCATGTTTTGAAGAGTCAAAGTCTTTATGTCCAATATATATTTGAATATATTTTTATTGTGAGTACGGCAAGGTTCTTTTAAATACACACGTTGACTTTATTCTAGATTGAAGTTTCTTGCACTGACTTTTAAGTCTTACTCGAAATAGTTAACATTTTCTTTTCCAATTTCATTTTTGCAATATTGTCATCTTCAAAATTTGTCACTTGCTTGTTGAAGACAGCTATTGAATTTTGTCTGGGTAGCCTGTATTTTTATTATTTTTATTTATTTTTTAATTTTTAATTAGTGTCTTATTCATTCTTTTGTTACTATCAGTATTTTTCAGTCAAATTTTTTTTAATGTCATTGTCATCCAATTTTCTTTTATTTTTATAAATTACCATTTGGCTACAATCCCTTTCTCAAAATCCACCCTAGTGTATGTAATGTTGTCACATCTGTTTCTCACTTTCACTTTGTTCACTTTGTCAATTTCTTCTTGCACCATCTGCATCTCACATCTCTGCTAGTGTCATTCATCTCCAGCTATTTCATTGAAGTAAATTAATTGTGAGATTATCGCAAAAACAATATTTCAACTACTTTTTTATTTTGTCACAGCTTCTAGACCATTCAATTATTTAATTTATCTCTATTCAATTTTTTTTCATAGTAGGTCATGTCTAACATCCTCATTCCTGGTGGTGATTTCATTTTCATTGATTCTGAAGAAGAATGGCCATCATTGCCAAAATCTTCAGGCAAATTGTCATTTTTAAGTTTGCCCATCAGTACGTCTCGTCCTTGTCATGGGCCATCACCTACACATTATAAAATAGATCCAAAACCAGTACCAAAAAAAAAAACAAAAAGAAAATTCACTCCTGTTAAGAGACATGAAATTAAGAGTTCTTATCAAAGAAAACTTGACAGTAAAGTATTCAGATTGAAGCCCAGTACCAGCAGTGAGAAGAATTTGCAAAATGTCAGTTTTACTCTTCCATTACAAAACAGATTTAGTTGCCTGACAGTAGAAGATGGATGGTTGGAGGATGGGTTGGATGATTATGAGAGTATTGAATTGAAAGGGAAGGAATTACAGAGTAGAGAGAATGTTAAAAATATGAATATCAAAGATGATGTGGAGGAGAATATGTTGAATGACTATGAAGATGAAAAATGCATGAAAGAAAAGTTAGTTAAATTTGATGAAATGAGGGATGCAATTTTGGCACAGCTAAAAGAGAAAATGAGAATGAAAAAAAGAAAGAGAAGTAAGAAACCAAGAATGTTAGTTAAATAGGTGACTGATAGAATTGTTTACAAAAAAGATAAGGGATATGATGAGATGGTCACAGACAAAAAAGTTAACCCTCCAAAAAGTACATCTGTAGATAGTAATAGTACTGGAGAGAGAACCAAGGAACAAAAGTTTTATTTAAATGTTTTGTTTTTGGAAAATGTTTTTGTACTTTGTTTTTAACATAGAAGGGTTTTGATTTCTGATGTCAAAAAAAAAAAAAAAAAACTTGTTGAATTGGGTATATCTGATTTTCAGAAGCTAGTTTTCCAGGGAAAAGTTTGTAATGATCAAGATGAAATTGATATTCTTGATTTTCCAAACATAGAATTGCATGGGGGGCTGTTGGGAGGGGGGAGGCCTGATGATACAGATATAGAGCATTTACCTTCGAAAAAGCTACGTCCATCTTGTTTTGTGAAAGATTTAGGGTTAGATTGCGAAAATGTAGATGTAAGATCATATCAGCATGGAAATTGTTCTTTTGATTTTGAGGATGTGCTCCCTTGTTTTGGTATAGCATCTGCTGTTAATTTGCCAGACCAAATTTATTTATGTAGAAAACACTTTTTTGACTTAGATAGGTTTAAAAAAGTATGTTTGGTGTGCAATAAAAAGAATAGAAGAATTGAGTATTTTCTGAAACAACAAGAGCAAGAGTTAGCCGGTCGTCATCTCAATTGTAATGTAAGTGATTCTTCTCCATTTTGTTTCACATGTTTTGTTCAAATAAAGAGGAAGATCAGTCCAGATGCTATTAATGAAATTTGTTTTTCCAAAACAATTTATTTCCTTGACAACATACTTAAAGAAAGAAATGCAACCACTTTGAAAGAGATTTATGATACTTATGTTCATTACATTTGGGAATTTGTTCAGTGTTATGATGGTTACTTGAATTCAAAAGACTGGTTGAAAGATATGCTTAAAAGACATTATGGAAATAAAATTGTGTTAAAAACCTTCAAAGAAAATACATTTTGGGGAACTTTGATAATGAATTCTAATTGTGATCCATGTAAAGTTTTGTTGAAAATGTTAAATGACAAGTTTTTAGTCCAAAGGAACACTGAAGAGAATTCTATAACTTTTAAACGACAACAAGATATAAGAGAAAAAGTACGTGCTAATGAGAAGAACAATTGTTTGGCAAGTGATGACAAAATTGATTCTAATACTTTATTTACTGTTTTATTTGAAGCCCGAACAAAATTATTATCAATGGCTAAGAAAATGGAAAAAAATCAATCAGTTCTCAACATCGCAGCATTTGACCCTGTTAAATTTAATTTTGAGTTTACTGACCCTTTTGTTTGGAATGTTATTAGTTTATTATGTGTTACTAATAATGAATTTTTTGAGTTAAAGAAAGAAATGACAGATAATTTCGATTGGTATAACACTTTTTGTGGAAATTTTAATATAAGTAACCCAAAAAACAAAACCCGTTTGCTTCAGAGTTCAAATATTATTTTTTCTCTTTTATTACATTGTCTGGAGGGAGGTGCTGGCACCCCATTCAGATAATTTGTACAGATTTTGTTGATAAGTTTTCACATTCCTCATCAGATTGCTTTAAAGTGCTAAATTCTTTTGGAAAAATTTTATCAGCAGATTCTTTTAATAGATTTCAGAAAATTATTTTAGAAACTGTTTTTAGTGATCCCTTAGTTGATTTAAGTCCAAATACATTTACAGTTGCTTCAGTTGATAATTTAAATTTCAGAGAGTGTCATGCACAGGTGAGGGTGTCTGACGTAGGTGGTAGAGGGTTAGATGGTACCAGTGAACAAATTGTTCAACCAAAGCCAATAACATTAAAAAACAAAAGTCACATTCAAATCCCCACAGAAAAAATTCATTCTCAATCACTGTCTCATTTGAAAGAAACCAAGTTTTTTGACACAACAGATTTGGAAAATAAAAGTGCTGACCTTTTTTGGGATGATTTATTTCAGTTTGTTTTTAGTGATTTTGCCAATTCAGTTAAAAACGCCGATACTCCCCCATTTCCTTTACGTTGTTTTTTTGCTAACAAGTACCCTCAACTGAAAGAGGTTTCTAAAATTGTTTATCTTGGACTGCTCGATGAAAACATAGATAAATATGAAACTGTTCGTAGTGTTTTGGACCATTTGTTTGTTTCTTTAAAAGTGGGAAAAGATCTGGATTATCTGGTGGTAGCTGGTGATGGCAAGGTATATTCTCATCTCATCAAAATTGTACAGGAATCAAAAGGTGAACTTCATTGGTTTCTTCCTTATCTTGGCGAATTTCATACACTTAAAAACTTTCAACACGTTTTACTTAAAATTTATTATGATGCAGGTTTAAAAGAGCTAATTAATTTGTTTCATTTTGGGGCTACAGGTAAATCCGTCGCTGAAGCCAAGAATTTTGAAAAGACACATATGTTTTTACTACAAATTTGGGAAGCTTTTTTTAGAATTGAAATTGATTTATATTTTAAATGGAAGAGCGGAGATGTTGATTTGTCAAATGAAGACATTATAATTAAACTGGCTGATTTGATGGAAAGAAATCTATTACAGAGGAATGGTGATGATTGTGATTTTATTTGGAACTTTCTTGATGACATCAAAGAAACTCAAAGAGAATTCTCAGCATTTACAAAAGAGTTATCTCAAAAAAATAAAACCTGGTCTTTTTGGTTAAATTTTGTTCATAGAGATTGCTTTTTATACATTTCCTTATATCTTTCTGTTACAGCAGGTGATTGGAATCTTAGAAATTTTTGTTTGAAAAGGATGTCACCCTTATTTCATGCTTTTGATGCACAAAATTATATGAAGTTAATTCCCACACATTTGTTTGATTTACATGCTCGCTTCCCAAAATCTGTTGTTTCTAATTTTGCAGAAGGTGGCTTTGTCATTAACTTGTTGGGTCATCCATTCTCATCTCTTGCATTTGATGAAGCTCACGACGAAATGTGCATCAATCCTGACATGAAAGCTTCATTAAAATCTTTAACCAAGTCCTCAATTTCTTCATCACTCTCATATCTCCCTTTTAGATCACACAGTTTCAACAATATTTTTTCTTTTTTGTATCCTTCTCGTTTAAATCCACCTCATAAGGATCAGTCTTTAGGTCATAGAAGGGCTGTTGAAGAAAACATCAATGCCTTTGTCAATTTACTGAAAACCTCCAAGTTCTATGTTAATTCTGACATAAAAAATCCATCCTTGTGCCATCTTTTTTCCAACGTTATTGCTTCAGACATTCAGTCTGTTGATTTGTTGAATTTTTATGAAAAGGGGGAAAAGTTTTTAAATGATTTCATACAATGTTTTATCTTAAATACACCTCAAAATGCAAAAATACCATTTAAGAAAAACAAATTGAGTACGTTTACAGTCAAACCAGCGTCTGGGACAGCAAAAAAAAAAAAAAAAAAAGAAGTGACTGATTTGAAAAGTGTTAATAATTTATTACAGAAACAGATTCAATTTTATGAAAAATATGGTACATTCCCTGAATCATTAAGTAAATCTTGCGTTAAATTACCGCTTGCTTTTTGTTCTTATGATGGAACTTCCAATAAGGGTGACAAATCAAAAGCTTTAGACTTTCTTCAAAAACATTATCCGCTCTCTTTCTCAACCAGCAGCCCTGACCATAAAGAATGCCTCATTTATGATGCAATGGTTCTCATCAATAAAATAAAGCCAGCACCTCATCATTCCAAATTTTTCCATTATGCACAATTATTGTTTGATCGTTATGTCATGTCTAATTTTCAGAAGCATGGGTACAGGGAAGTTCACTTTGTTTTTGATTGCCAAGAGGAACTTTTGTACCCAAAGAGTATTGAAAGACAAAAAAGAGACCTTGGTGAAACACTAGGGCCTTTACCTGATGTTGCTGACTCCACCTCTTTGCCCTCAGATTGGCATAAGTTTTTAAGAAACCGCCATAACAAGAAATTGTTAGTTTCATACTTAAGTGAATCCTTACTTAAATTAGGTCTTCTACATTTGGAGGAAAATCATCACTTTACCATTTGTGGTTCTTTTCATGACTCTTTGAATTCTAAGTCTATTATCAAAGGAAAAATGTGCTTAAATTTGAACAACAATCATCAAGAGGGGGACACATTAGTTTGGCACCAAGCATTCTCAAGTTCTTGCTCTCATATTTTGATTTATTCCATTGACACTGATATCCCTTTCATTGGCCTTCCTTTTATTCCTCAATACCCACATAAAACACTATATATTCATATTCATGATAAAATGCATGATCAGTTATTCTTAGATATGTCTTTACTTTACCATAGTTTGACAAATGATGTGTCATTGCAGCTTGCAAATGTAGATAATATTGGTGTCATTCTTCAGTCACTTTATGTACTGTCTGGATCCGATTTCACTTCTTTTGTGAAAGGATTTGGGAAAATAAGTTGTTTTAGCACTTTTTATAATCATGCTGATTTCATTGAAGCTGACATAGGGCTAGCCAATGAAAATGGTTTTCTTTCATTTTGTCGTTTTTTGGGCTGTCTGTATGCCAAAAATTGTTCATCTTCATACCCTGGAGGTCCCAAAAATCTATTTACATCTTTGCTTCATCAGCATTCTGACTTAAATTGTATTGAAATACACCGAAAATTCCTCTCTCATATCCGCTCCACTACCACGAAAAGAATTACCTCCTTAGAACATCAACTTCCATCTTTTGATTCAATTCATTTCCATTGGTTGCGTTCTTTGTATGTTTGTAAAGTTTGGACACAGGCCAATTCCGCACACATAGAGTATCCATCAGTATCAGATTTTGGTTGGACAGTGGGTGAAAGTAGTATCTCACCAGTATGGGAATCAGACTATAATTTACAAAAGTTTGAACAAACAACTCGTTTTTTGACTAATGGCTGCAGTTGCAAAAAATCTGGTTGTGTCAGAGGTCAGTGCAAGTGCTACCAAAATTCTTTTTTTTGTGGGCCTAGTTGTGTGTGTATAAACTGCAATAACCCGCATAATAAATCCATCAAAAAAGGGACAAAAGAAGAAAGCCTGTCTGTTGTCAATCGAGAGAGTGACATTTATGATAATTATAGTGAAAAAAATTTAGATATAACTGTTAAAAATGAGTTAAACATGGATGAAATTGATGGTTTAAGTAGTTTCTGGAGTTTGGATCTTGAACTACTTAATTAGGTAAGAAATTTACTGATATAAATATAAATTTTATAAGTAGCATTTGTTGAAATATAATTNAAAATTCTTTTTTTTGTGGGCCTAGTTGTGTGTGTATAAACTGCAATAACCCGCATAATAAATCCATCAAAAAAGGGACAAAAGAAGAAAGCCTGTCTGTTGTCAATCGAGAGAGTGACATTTATGATAATTATAGTGAAAAAAATTTAGATATAACTGTTAAAAATGAGTTAAACATGGATGAAATTGATGGTTTAAGTAGTTTCTGGAGTTTGGATCTTGAACTACTTAATTAGGTAAGAAATTTACTGATATAAATATAAATTTTATAAGTAGCATTTGTTGAAATATAATTATGGTTTGTCATTCAGAAAAACCTTACACACATGATATGTTTATGAATTGGATATTTGTTATGTGGTTGTGTGAACAGAATTATGTAATTTGCCATGGTTTATATTTTAGGTGTTTTACTCAAGACAAATGAAATTTGACATGCTGCTGCTTAGTTCACAGAATTGTCATCAAAATCATCAACTCCTTCAGTACATGTGATGTGTTAACCTTTTATTGAATGAATTTTGAGCAGTTCCTTTAATAAAACATGAAGACTTCTTGACAAAGCCAAAGAGGTGGCTCCTTAATGAGTAAGTTTCATGGCTAATTGTATTTTTTTTTTTTGAAGTTTGGATAAAATTTACATTCTAACTACTACGCGGGTCAATGAAATAGGCAACCAACTGAAAAAGCTTGCCATGTAATCTGAATAGGGAAGGTATTCAAGTGGGCCAGCCAAACTTGGTGTGCAAACTTGTTAGTACACTGTTCTGAATGTGGCCAATTAATAACTATTTCAAAATTTATTTTTTTAGTATAAAACCAAAGATGGAAGTTTTTAATGTACATTATTCTGGCTTTATTTAACAGATATGTTGGTAACAACAATGTGCTATATATAAAATGGACATCACAGCTGCCTTATTACCAGCAACACACATTTCAAGTGGATTTGAAGGTGGCAAAGTGTATGGGGCCTAGATGAGGTTTGTATATTCACCACAATTTGAACATTATTTAAACTTACATGTACCTGAGAAAGTGGGAACACAAATTCTTAAACCGACTTGAATTGGCTAATCTAAATATTGTTGACTTGACATTTGATGACATTTAAAGTCAAATTGAAAGCATCTGGAGGAAAAGTGATTGAATAGTGTAGAATTTTGTGTATTATATTTCAGGGTAACTATTAAAAACCCTGGACCATGGAAAAAAACCAGTCCAAAATGTGTCCTATTAGCCATTAGAATCCTTCCTGTTCATAGTCATGAAAGATGTATGTTTGGACAACAAAGTATGGACAAATTTTTTACCCAAGAGACTAAGTATGATGCTGTTGAGTTGTACCGAGTTCAGAATGATATTTTGATGACAAGTCTCCAAATATGTTACTTTTATGAAGATGTCAGTGGCATTAATAACTGCTGAAAAGCTGGATCTTTACCAAAAGAATGGCAGAAAATTATGCTTAATTATGTTTATTTTTGACAGCTATAACATTGAGTTGAACTGGGTGTTCAGTTTTTCCAAGGACAAATGCAATTTATGAGAAAAAAATTAATGAAGTCTGAGGAATGAAACTCCTGAGTTGTATGTTTGTCAACCCCATAGGAGAACTTGAATATTTTTATTAATTTTTTTTTTTTAGTTTTTTATCTTGTTTTTTTCCCTTCTATTTGAAATAAAACTTGTTTGAAAAAAATGGACTTGACAGTTATTTAAAATCTTAGTTGTATAACTGAAAGAACCATATGTTCAAGTAACAGGTTTTGAAATGGTTTCATATATTGCAGATAATAGAGCATCTAGAGATTTATAAACAGATAGCAAAGAAAAGCAGTGAGAATATACAATGGATAAGTCGTTGAATCTATTATTAAAATCTTTACCTTTCCTTCGTAAAAACCCTGTTGCTTTTCAAAAATTACCACTGGGCACAGGTCTATATTTTGTTTAACTTAATTATAGTAAAATTTGTGTTAAAACCTTATAACCCGTTTTAGAAAGCTTGTAGTCATGTTTAGTACAGGTAGGGTTTGTTGATCAGGTTGGTCACGTGACGCTATGAATTGTGATGAAAATTGGGTGCCACTTCTGTGGTCGTTTTGGACATAGACCTCGACCCCGGATTATGGAACGATATTTGACGTTTTTCGGCTTTGCACAGTCTGTGTATAAAAATGAACATAAACTAACCTCTAATACTTTGCATGTAGCTACGATAGAGCTTTATTTACTATCTTGTAAAGCTTAATCCATATGATTTGGGTTATTATTGAAGAAAAACGCTAAAATAATGGTTAACTTCGTGTTGTTCTCAAACCCCAGATTATGGAACAAAACCGGAAGTGCGCACATAACGTTGCGTCAGAGTTTGTTAGAAATGATGCAAGGCAATATGTAGCGCAAGGGGTCTATAAAAGACAATAAAACGGCATATGCGCTTTATATTGCGAATATCAATGGAAATAACAGCTGTTGTTATTCATATTTAGTTGGTCTTTTACTTTTAAACACAAATATTGCTAAAAAATGGAATAGCCCACTCATTTACCACTGCCTTGAATCGGATTATGGAACAAAACGAGAAGTTGCCGCTACGTCGGAATATCGAAGCGATGTTTAGTAGTCTGGTCATTTAAAATGCCAAATTGAAAATACTGTATCCATTATTATGAATTTAAAGAATAATATTGATATTTCTCATTTTAAAACTCGTCGATCATTCATTTGGCCTGTATTCAGGAAACAACACCAGTAATGATTCAAAATAAAATCTTTAATTCATGATGACAAAACTAGCAATTAACATTAACAGCTCACATACCACCAACAAAGAATTTATCGAAAGTGTGACAAATACAATAAAAATAAATAAATAAAAGTAAAAAAATGACGGAGAACTCGTGTAACAGACTAGTGCTGTGAGATGAATATATTCAGTTTTTTAACATCGCTGACCTTTATAAAATGCATTTAACATTTAACTCCATAAAACGAAATCACTGCAATTTATTCCATTGTTATACTGTCTCGCAACTCTGTTCACCATATGCAATAATAATGTGCGTTTGTTTTATGTACGTATGTATGTTTATTTTTACGTTGCGTTGTTAGTAACGCACAAGAACATATCACTTGTAGGCCCATGTTTAGGCCTACTTTTGCGGTATGAATAAGAAAAAAACAATATAAATCTTTAAAAAAATATAAAACAAAAGGACTCAACCAATGTTTCTCCTTTACTGAGATAAATTCCAGCAGATATAACACAGGAAAATGTCAAAAAATGTAGGGGTTTTAGCGCAAGTGAAATGTTCTTTCGCGTTAAGCCTAGGTCCCAAAATTAAACGTTTTGGACGCAGGGATTTTTAGTTCCTTGCGTCCGGCTAGGACGTAGCTAGATCGCACGTAGTGGCTGTTGATCATGTCCAAAAGTTACTACATGCTGTTTGCGTCCTCCAAAAGTCGCACGATGGACGTGCTCCTCAGGCACGAACTCCCACGTTTTCCCATTTCTTTTTTCTTTTTTTTTTTTTTGGCCGTAGATCACACGTAGCAGCCCGTAGGTTCGGTTGGGACCTAGGCTTTACAAACAACGCAACGTAAAAATTCGTTCTTCTCTCTTCTTCCTTCTTCTCTTTTCTACGTACGTTTCACCTCCAATGCCATCTGTGTCTTTCGCCCTCGTACCTCAGCCTTCTTCCCCTCCCTCTCTTCGCCCGATCTTCTCTTCTCCTCTTTCTCCATTCTTCGCCTAGCGCCATCTTCGGCTTTTCTCATTTTTTCTACAGCTCTTCTTTTCTTACTTACTTACTTACTTACTTAGGCCTACTTACTTACTTACTTTCTTTCTTTCTTTCTTTCTTCCAAGTCTTTAAATAATGTTTTCTTATTTTCCGATATCCGTTCAAATCTTTATTTGAAGACAAAATTCATTTTCTCATTATTTTTCATTTATTTAGCATGTTTTTATTTCACTATATTGCACCTATTTATCTTTCCCGGTTTTCTAAGGGACAACTCGGGATGTCGATTCATGAACCGATCCCACCAGCCGTTCGAAAAGCCCATAGGCCTATCCCTTTGTTTTCCCACCGCCAGTGCAAACTTGCTAACTCCT